TGAAAAAATGCTCATCATCACTGGTCATTAGAGAGATGCAAATCAAAACCACATGGAGATACCATCTCACGCCAGTTAGAATGGCGATCATTAAAACATCTGGAGACAACAGATGCTGGAGAGGATGTGGAAAAATAGGAACACTTTTACACTGCTGGTGGGAGTGTAAATTAGTTCAACCATTGTGGAAGAGAGTATGGCGATTCCTCAAGGCCTTAGAAATAGAAATTCCATTTGACCCAGCAATCCCATTACTGGGTATATATCCAAAGGACTATAAATCGTTCTACTATAAGGACACATGCACACGAATGTTCATTGCAGCACTGTCTACAATAGCAAAGACCTGGAACCAACCCAAATGCCCATCGATGATAGACTGGATTGGGAAAATGTGGCACATATACACCATGGAATATTATGCAGCAATCAAAAATGATGAGTTCGTGTCATTTGTAGGGACATGGATGAATCTGGAGAACATCATTCTCAGCAAACTGACACAAGAACAGAAAATGAAATACCGCATATTCTCACTCATAGGTGGGTGATGAAAAAAGAGAACACATGGACACAGGGAAGGGAGTACCAAACACTGGGGTCTATTGAGGGGAAGAGGGGAGGGACAGCGGTGGGGGGAGCTGGGGAGGGATAGCCTGGGGAGAAATGCCAAATGCGGGTGAAGGGGAGGAAGGCAGCAAAACAAACTACCATGTGTGTACCTATGCAACTGTCTTGCATGTTCTGCATATGTACCCCAAAACCTAAAATGCAATTAAAAATAAATAAATAAATAATAATAAAACATACAAGATCCCCTAAAATAACTCAATATGCTTGAAGTTATTGTTAAATGGCAATAGCATTGAAATGGAAATAACACTGAAAAAAAAAAATCAAAGGGAAGGTAAAGATACATGCTGCTTTAAGAACATCCTTCTCACAACCTGAATTCATAAACCTCATGTTTTAAAATATGAAATTACTCTGTGGTTAACAAAGAGCTCTGTGTAAAGCAACTTTAAATAGCATTTCCCAGTAGAAAATTACAGTAGATTTGGAATCAAAGCTTGAGTACAAATCCCTAGTCAATCCCTTGATAGAGTCATTTAACTGTGAGAACCATGAACTACCTGAGATTCAATTGTATTACCTGCATATGGAGATTATTTTAACATCTACCCCATCCCAAAGCTGCTGGGCCACAGCAGGTATCAAACTGCTTATGTTATAAAATGCTAAATAATCTGAAGTCATTTGATTATCCAAGAAGACCAGTGGAATCTAATTTTTTAGAAACACATCTATCATATGATAAGAGTTGCGATGACAAGTTCTTAGACTCCAGAAGAAGTTTGTGGAAGATTTTACAGGAAATTGCATAATTGACATTATGGAGCCCTAAGCATGCAGTGAAGATGACAAAAGGGAAGGGGCTACAAAGTACACAAATGGAGTGTTTGGTATGCTCTAGAGTGCCTTCGTAATCCCAACTTTCCAAACTGATGACTAATATGGCATCTGGCCTATTGGTAAAAGACGAATGACTTACCTCTCTTAATATTGCTTTTCACCACAACCAAAGAAAAGGGCCCAAATCCTAACAAAATTAACATATGTGCTTAATTTAAAGTAATCCTGGCCGAGGCAGGTGAATCACTTGAGGTCAGGAGTTCAAAACCAGCCTGGCCAACATAGTGAAACCCCGTCTGTACTAAAAATACAAAAAAATTAGCCAGGCATGGTGGCAGATTTCTGTAATCCCAGTTACTTGGGAGGCTGAGACAGGAGGATTGCTTGAACCCAGGAGATGGAGGTTGCAGAAAGCTGAGATGGCACCACTGCACTCCAGCCTGGGTGACACAGTGAGACTGTCTCAAAAGAAAAAAAAAAAGTGATCCTTATAAAGTTATCGATTGGCTTTAAAGCCAATCTATAAACTTCTTAAGGCCAAAGACAAGTTTATCCTCAAAGCCAAGGAACATGCAAGGACCAAGACTTAAGACTGAGCTATTTTACCCACACCTACTTACTACATGTTCTGTGCTCTCACAATGTACACCTTTCCATACTTTATGTAGACAAACAGCTCCACAGCCAGATTGGAAATTATGTGACAAATAATACAGACATACCTATATCACAACTATTATTTACTCTGAACAACAAGCTGGACACTTGTATGTTTCCAACTTTCCTCTCTTTAATAAAACATAGGTGAATAAATTAACAGGGACTCTTTCGGCTTCCTGACCAATTCACACTGCAGCCTACTTCTCTAATAGATGAAGACTAAAAATAATCTTGTACAGCCTTTCCATTCCATCATCTAGTTTTTATTAAACAACATATATAAAATGTTCACACCAGATTTTGTTTTAAAGCAGACACTGTGTTAAACTGCATATCCCTCTCACTTGACAAATTTTTTACTTTTTAGAATTCTTAAATTGAAAAATGTGGGAATCAAGCCAAAAATGTTCATCAAACAAAAGTAGCTTTCCTGAACTTCCCAATGGAATCGGGGGTAGGATGTCCTGGTGTCAGTGTCTCGAATGCCACTGTTCTCATGTTGCACCACTGCCCCACTTCCCTCATTGCGTATACTTTCTGCTGAATGCAGACACCCTGCTAGTGACTATCAACAAGCAGAATTTGGCCAGCTCCCCTGTGTTGTACCCTGATATGCTAAGCTCAACATGTACTTATTCAATCAACAAACTAAGGAGGACTCATCATAGGCAAGATAGTGGAGTACTTAAAAAAGGACCATGACACAGCTGCTGTTCTCTAGAAGCTCACACTCTGGTTTAAACAATAATACAAGTTCCTAAGAACCCCAATTAAAAGCTCTCACCAAAGCACCACTGGGAATCTTACCATTGTCGTGAGACATGAGGAATTATGTGCTGTGTACTGCTTGCTGTCCATTCCTTGGACTTGGCCTTAGTATCACATGCTACTAGCTCCTCCCAACCAAGGTCACAGTATTGTAGGAGGGCTTATTCAGGCAAAGCTGTCTAGAAAATGACCTTCCTAGTTCATTGAGGTGAAGAAAAAGGTGAAAAAGTTCTAAGTTGACTAGCAATTTGCTGAGTGGCTATAGTGCCCAACTCTGGGGGTGCTACTTCCATAAAAACTGGACTGGCAGTTTGAGGCTGGTAAAAGCTTAGGCAAACTTCTAAAGCAGAGATTGCTACCTCTGGAGAGAACAATGTGAGGCCAAAAAGACTGTCATAAACTTGAGTACTGTATTAATTTGTGGCTTTTATCATAGGTACCTGGGGCATATCAGAGATCTTGACAGGCAATCAATCAGAACTGTTTAACCCTGTGTGACTAAAGAGCTGAATGACTTCTTGCAGTTTTTTATTTCCCCACATTTGACAAATGAGCTTTTGCACAACACAGATTTCCAACTTGAAAATGTGGTGATTCAAGGTTTTTTCACTGTTTCCTCATTTATTTATAAGTACTGGCAACAACACAAGGAACCAATGATTTTAGCTTAGCCAATATTGTTATGTTCACTACTACTGTCAATATTTACCTGACAAGAGCTTTTATATTTTTTCCTTGAAATATATTATTATATATTTTTAATTTGAGCATATTTTTAGGGGTAGAATATAGGTTAACTTAAATTTTCCACATTGGGTGGTCCAGGCATAGTGGTTCATGCCTGTAAGCTCAGCACTTTGGGAGGCTGAGGTGAAAGGACTGCTTGGGCCCAGGAGTTTGAGACCAGCCTGGAAAACATGGTGAGACCCCATCTCTACAAAACATAAAAAAATTAGCTGGGTGTGGTAGCCCACCTGCAGTCCCAATTACTCAGGAGGCTGAGGTAGGAGAATCACTTGACCCCAGGAGGTTGAAGCTGCAAAGAGCTATGGTCATGCCACTGCACTCTAGCTTGGGCAACAGAGTGAGACCCTATCTCTAATAATTTTTTTGCCACATTGAATTTTCACATATCAATTTTCCATTTTTTCATCTTATTATCTCTCCTTAAGTCTCAAGCCAATTCCTTAGAGCAAAGAGAATTAGAATTGAAAGTTATAATACTACAGAGGCAAATGAGTAGGGGAATTATCCACCTGAAAAACTTCTTAAAAAATTAATCTTCTAATTCTGATAGGATTGGATATGTAATTTGGGCTGTATTTGCTAAACTCTTTTTTCTCCTTGGATAGCAATTTTTGAGAATAGGAGACCAAGTAGGGTTTTGGAAGCCACAATTCTAAAATAGCATCTCAACTCTTCCTAGGATCTGACTGGCAAAGCAAATAGTTAAGAGCTGTGCTGACCTTATGCTACTAAAATAGTTACTGGTATGCAATAATATTACCTTATGATGGGAATGGAAGGAAATTAAGACTTAGAAGAAGGCATGACAGATGGAGGATGAAGGGTATGGGAAAATAAGAAAAAACTATGTATGAGAAAAAATCTCTAGCAGAGAGAGAAACAAAAAAGTTTTCTGAATACATGGCCATCCTATTAAGTTAATATAAAGTAACTCTGGACTCTTTGTGAATAAGCATGCTTCAACACAGATTTTAATTTTGCATAGACCATGTATATGGGATGCCATGCCCTGTTCCTTCTTGACTCCCTTTAGGTTGCTGGTGCCTCAAGGATCCTCTGCTTTTTATCTTTTCCCTTCCCCATCTTTTTCGACTGCTCTGTTTCCTTAATAGTTGATGTTTAGGTTATAAGTACCCATGATTAGTAGCTATCCTCTTAAGAAATATCCTTCATAAATTTTGTTTTCTATGGCCTTTTAAAAACATCTTAATAATTAACTGGATATTTTTAATTTTAAGCTTTCTTTCTCCCTTCGTTCAGCTTTCAAAACTAAAATTCTCTTTTCTAAAACTACCTCCTATTCTCTAGCCTTAGTTTTTCCTTCTAAGAACACTGGTGTCTTCTGCTCCTTTTCCAATTTGCTAATGTAAGTTTCTAAGATTCAAATACAGAATGGAAAGTATAACACTTACCACATTAATAGGAGGTCTTTTGAAGTAAAATGGTAGTTTCTCTGTTACAGTTATGCAGATTAAATCCACATCCAAATGTGTGCAAGCAATCTGTAAAGAAGAAAAAAATAGGTAAGACCAAAAGGAAAATTGCTATAAGTATGAATGGGAGATAGGGTCAAACTCGATATAATATAAGCATGGTTCACTCCATAGGTGTTTTGATGGTTGTATGTTGAAATACAACTGACCTTTTACAAAGTCAACTGCTTAGCTACTCTTTAGGTTTGGTTTAAATGGTTCAACTGTAATCCAGCAAAAGCGGAATATGTCCATAGACTTTCTCAAAAGATAGGGCCTGGAGCCTGTCTAATTCATATGGTCTTCTACATAAGGACGGGTTGCTGAGTGAGGCTCAGTTACTGGAAGGTTACTTCAGACTGTTCCAGAAAGTAGAAACTGACTATTCTAAATTCCAAGGAAAAAATAAGCCAAATGGAATGTATGCATGGTCCATTTATTCCACAAACTATTTATTGAGCAACTCTGTGCCAAGAATTGTCCCAGGGCTGTGGCTCCTATTAGTCTACTGAGTAGCTAAAGAAATATGAACACAGCACCTCATGACATTTGTTCAAATACTAATAGAAGGAATCTACATAAATAGAGGTATTACAAATCAAATGATAAATGAATGCATTTTTCAACTTTCAAATTCCCTTTCCTTGTTTTAATTTTTGCTATTACTTGTTGATTAATACTCTGCATTTCCTTCTAAAAGGTATTTGAAACTACTTATAAAAACCACATACAAGATAAAATAAACAGATAAAAAAATTAGGATAAATGGAAAATCAGGGAAGAAAAATAAAGCTGATAAAAGGTTACTAATGTAGAGTGCAAGTCAGATGACACTGCTAGAAGAAATATTCCTGGTTCTGATTTTGCCATTATTTGATTTATAGTGGTAAAAGTATTTGGCTGTTATGTATTACATTAAAAATAAAGCTTACTGACAATGATAGTGTGTACAAGCTTGACGGACAAATTCAAATTTCCAAGATGGCTATGCTGACAAACAACATCAGTAGCATGTACCAGGGGAAAGGGTAGAGTAAGGAAGAGTGGAGAAGAAGGAGTAATAATGACCTGTGGGATTGGTGCCAACTTTCAGCAATGACAGGAATACATCTTGCCCTTTTTCTTCAGAATCCCCACTTCAGTCACTGCTACTGAACTTTACCAACCCCAGAACTTTAGGATGCAAGGACAGATCAGAGGTTGGTTGGCTTTAAGACAGTCATAGTAACTTAGTAAGCCTGTGAAGCAATGTTGCTTTGGCAGAAATACTTGGCTCATAAAGAAAGGGCCCCATCTCAACTGCCACAGCTGTCCAACTCATAAAAGAGTCATTGAAAATTTAATAAGAATGGATGAAGGAAAGCTCTGAATGATAGCTAAAACAAATTCAGCTCTGTTCACCATTTTTTAAGTATCATACTGGCAAAGATTCAAAAGTTTGGTACCACCTTGCTGACATGACAATGAATAAACAGGCACTCGCAAGGTCTTTAAATCAGTATAAGGTCTTGAAAAGCATTTTAGCAATGGCTACCAAAATTTAAAAGCACACACCAGCAATTCTACTTATAGGTATGTAGTACGCCTAAGTGAAGTCTCCTATAGAGAAGTTTCTGTAAGTGTAGAGACTCTAGAAATATATAGCTACATACCCTACAAAGGCTCAGGGGACATTAGTACAAGGACCGTCATTGCAATACCAATCATGAAAGACTAGATACAATTAAACATTCCTCAATTTTACCTAAATAAATTAGGATCCCTTTATATAATGGAATATGCCAACTCATTAAAGGGAGTGATGTACATCTCTAATGGATATTATGGAACAACCTCTAAGAAACTGTAAGGTGAAAGAAGCATAGTGTTAGGTAGGAAGGAAAGAGGGAGGGAGAAAGGGGAGAACAAAGAAAGACGAGATAAATAATATTTCTAAAAAGATACACAAGAACTAGTGTTTGCCTCTGGAAAAAAAGGGAGAGGGAGTTTTAGGCGGAAGTAAGGTGTACTTTTCAATATCTTTGTGCTGTTTAAATTTATCATCATGAATGTGAATTATTTCTTCAGTTAAAAAAGCTGATTAATTCTTTAAAAGCCTGTTAAACATTCTCCCCAGAATAAAGCTAAATTAGGTTACTTTTTACTTAGATAAAAGTAAGTATCTTCTCCTATATAAGAGTGGCCAATTAAACAATGGCTGTATGTTAGTTTAAGTACGTGCAAATACCTACATTATAATACACTTTAGTTACAAAGGACAGGTCCCCATAGCTCCCTCTGACACTTCAACGTTAGAATGCCCCAAACTGAATTATTTTATTTAGTTTTCTATTAACCAAAATGTTCAATTGATACATTTAGATAACCACAAAATAAGAGTTAATGTTCATACTCCAGTGAAACACTTTCTATATAATTTTAAAAGATGCCCAATAGAGACTTGAGGTTAAGAATATTATAATGGTTTTCTCTGAAAACTGGTAGGTTACAGATGAATTCACATCAGTTATCCATAACAATTTTTTTTTTTTTGTCCAGAGACTCCCATGACAATTTAAAGAAAATGTATTCCCATAAAAATGCACAGATATGTACACATCTTTGCCTTTATGGCACAAAAGTAAAAGGACTGTAGGGGTTCATATTCTTCCCTGACTCCCTTTCAAAGATATCAGGTTGATAAACTGGGCAAGGGATAATCAGGCTTACCAAGGAAAAAGAAATATCCATAAACAGTGGCTCTCAACTTTAGTGTGCATAAAACTGTCCTAAAGAATGTATCAAAAATGAAGACAACCAGGCCCTACTACCTCCATGGATTCATTAAGTATGGCCTAATGATCTGCATTTTAATAAATATTCCAGGTCATTTCTGAAGCCAGTAGAGCCAGACCATACTCCAAGAAACACCAAGATACTCCCTTCCTCAAGATACTCTACAACAGTGTTCTGCAAAGGAAAGACATGAATTTCAGGAGAAGGAAAAAAATAAAACTTTTATTTCCATTTACTTTTATTTTTTAAAAGTAGAGACAGGGTCTCACTATGTTGCCCAGGGTGGTCTTGAACTCCTGGCCTCAAGTGGTCATCCTGCCTTGGCTTCCCAAAGTGCTGGGATTACAGGCACAGCCACTGCAACCAGCCTCCATTTACTTTTTAATTCACTACCTTAAGATCTGCTTTGTGTAAATGTATTTTTTATAAGGCACACTGGTATAATGAGAGATACAGGTAATTCATAAGAAACATACATATATTGGGAAGCAGGCTCAAAAATTTTCTTAACTGATTGGATGTACAATCAAAGCAGTTTAGAGACCGCTGGACTAAATAACCTGAATTCTCCTCAACCTGCTCAGCTGCTTTAAATCCTAAATGGCTGTAATTGTTCCAGAAGCTTCTGAAGCTTCTGTGCAACTCGCTCTGTCATATTCCACAGCTGTCCCCAATTCTAAGGCACCCTAACCAATGGATTCCCTCAAATATTTAATCTCTGCCTTATCTACTGAAGTAGCTATGGGGAGATAGTTTCTTTTTATTTATTTATTTATTTATTTTGGTTATACTTTAAGTTCTGGGGTACATGTGCAGATCATGCAGGATTGTTACATAGGTATACACATGCCATGGTGGTTTGCTGCATCCATTCCCCTGTCATCTACATTAGGTATTTCTCCTAATATTATCCCTCCCCAATTCCCCCCACCGCCTGCTATCCCAGGGAGAGAGTTTCTACGAGACATCTTCCAGATACTCTGAGTAGAAAATATAAGAGTATGTTATGTCCCATGGAAATGATGCTATTTAAGATGGTTAGATTTTACACTACTATTGACATAAACGTGTGTGTGTGTGTGTGTGTGTGTGTGTGTGTATGCTTGATGACTCATATTGGAAATCTAACTTAGTTTAGCTTTAAAAGAAAGATGTCTTTTAAAATTGATTTTCTATAGAAAACAGGAGAACTCTCATTTCAATTTAATCTTAAGGAACGGGTAATATTTGGATAGAGAAGAGGAAGATATTCCAATTTTTAAAAATGCGTTTTCATATAACTTTGTGAGTACATGTGTAAAATCAATATTTTGTGCTTTCTTCTATCTTCCAAAATATTTTTGACAGGTCCATCCACTATCATCAAGCATGTGTGCAGTAAATTCAAACTTGAAGAGTCTGAGTCTGACAAAAAAACAGTAAGATAAACAAATAAAACTACTACATAAAATTACAATATATTCTAAAACCCAAAGTCCTACCTTTAGAACATATTTGCTAGGGGATTTAGACCAAATCACTCAGCCTGAGTCTCAGTTTTCTCCACTATAAAATGGGTATAGTAATAAATATCTGTTCTAATTGTCCTACAGGATTGTTGTGAAAGTTAAAGGAAATAAATATGTAAATGTTTCTGAAAGGTTTTACAAATGTATACCTTCCTTGTTTTGCCTCTCTAATCATCAGAAAAGGGATCTAGAAATGTTAAGTTGTATGATCTTCAGAATTAATCCAGAAATCAAATGTACAACAAAATACTTGGTACATCACCAACTTTTATTCCAAATCATGACTGAGTTGCTATTATTTATTAAGTAAACTAAGTTGCTGTTGGTTGTTTAACAAACTTGGAAATGCCCATGGTCGTTCTTATATTGAACACTAGTGATTTCAGCACTGAATTATACTTTCTTACAGGACATGAAAAAACAGAGATACCCAGAATCGACCCCAAATCTACTGGACCAGAATCTCCAATGGTGAGAGCTGAATGTGCCTGATTTAAAAAGTTCTACAGGTATCTTTTATGAATAAAAATCACTGGCTTCTACTTACCCCTTTAACTAAAACAAAATTCTTGAGAAAATCTATAATTGCATCAAAAAAACCTTTTTTTTCTTTTTTTTTTTTTTGAGACAGTCTTGCTCTGCTGTCCAGGCTGGAATGCAGTGGTGCAACCTCAGCTCACTGCCTCCTGGGTTCAAGCAATTCTCGTTCCTCAGTCTCCCAAGTAGCTAGGATTACAGGTGAGTGCCACTATGCCCAGCTAAGTTTTGTATTTTTAGTAGAGATGCGGTTTCACCATATTGGCCAGGCTGGTCTTGAACTCCTGACCTCAAGTGATCCACCCACCTCGGACTCCCAAAGTGCTAGGATTACAGGCATGAGCCATCGCACCTGGCCTATAATTGCATTTTTTAAAGAAAGTAACCAAAAAAAAGGAGTAGGCATCCATAAATATTTTATGCTGTTTCTGTTAATATAAATAATTAAGAATTGATAGTATACCTTGAAAACTATTGATGTTTACCACAGACATTAGCATCCTTAGTCAGTAGCTCCATCTACTGAATACATCTAGGAAAAACATCTTTCTGCAATTTTAGAACAAATTTTGCTTAAAAAAAAGAAAAACCTGATGTAACATTAAAACCTCAAAGACCAGGCTGATCTGAAGGTAGTCAGTTATCTTAATCTACTCAGTCAGTTATCTTAATTGACTGTTTACAGTCAGTTAAAGATTGAATTCCTTGCTCTACTCTTTCCCTCTTAATAGGGCACTTGACTAGTCTTTTAAAAAAAAAATCAAAGAGTAGTACCTTTGGTGGTTATACTTTTGGCAGATGGACAATTTAGTGTACCCAGAAAAAGGCAACTTTCAGAAGTTTCTAAAAGTAGCTACACCTCATTTTATATTTTTAGCAGATAGACACTTTAGTGAACCTACATAAAAGCAACTTTCAGAACTTTCTAAAAGTAGTTATAACTCATTTTACACAGTAAAATGCATTAGTTGATTTTTTTCTTACTGTAATCACTTAAAATGCCCAGGATGTTGTTTCAAGTTGACAAAATAAGCATACATGTTAAGCTCCTTTCCCTTCTGCAAAGGCAATGAAATGGCAATTTTAAAAGTACAAAAGAAATTCAATTCATAAAGGCTCTCAAGATAAGAAGAGGGATTATAGGCTGGGCGTGGTGGCTCACGCATATAATCCCAGCACTTTGAGAGGCAGAGGCGGGTGGATCACGAGGTCAAGAGATTGAGACCATCCTGGTCAACATGGTGAAACCCCGTCTCTACTAAAAATACAAAAATTAGCTGGGCATGGTGGTATGCACCTGTAGTCCCAGCTACTCAGGAGGCTGAGGCAGGAGAATTGCTTGAACCCAGGAGGCAGAGGTCGCGGTGAGCCGAGATTGTGCCACTGCATTCCAGTCTGGGTAACAACAGCGAAACTCCGTCTCAAAAAAAAAAAGAAGAGGGATTAGGGATTACACCAGCAAATGGCGGATTTTGAAGACTGTCTGAAAGACTAAAGGCTGAGACAATCATGCTTGCATACAGGCTATACCTCAGAGCATGCAAAGGAGGAAGCTGAAACAGAGGTGGAAACTTTTATGCTACAGTAGAACCTTGCCCCTTTCTTCCCTCCCAAGGAGCAGCAAACGGTAAAAAGAGCAGAAACTGAAGTGATTTTAGAGTAAGAAAGAGATGGACCAACACTTACCTAAGAGAAGTTTTGAATTAAAGAAGCAGAGTTAAACACAAGAAAATTTAACAGGTTCTTTCAAAACGATCCCATCAAATGTTAGCAGGATAAACAAAACAAAACAGAAAACCAAATGCCCATTATATATACCCTTATGGGGTTCTAGAAACTCCAACTATAAATAACAAATCCTAAAAGTTTCCAGATGAGGCAAAACAGGTCATCTACAAAGTCAGAACATCAGACTTCTTATATAACACATAAACACTACTTTATTTTCCTTATCCATTACTCACATGAAAAAGTTTTTCTGTCTTTGGAAAAACTGCAACAACATCATAGAGCCGGACCCTTGAAGAAGTTGCTCTCTAAGAATACAAAAAGAATGTTACCATATAATAACAAAAACCCATACACATGAAATTCTGTCTAGTGACTGACTCACACCTATATTTCAATCATGGAACACTTCTAATGTGCTATTGACATTTCGGCCTTGCTTTGGACATTGGCAGAAAAGACCTAAAAGCACATGAGAATTAAGATACAAATATCTATCTCACAATCATTCTCCTCCTTCCTTCCTACATTTGCTATACTTTAACCATGTACCAAACATTGTGTTTGAGATGTAAAAATCAAATTAGGCCAGGCACGATAGCTATGCCTGTAGATCTAGCACTTTGGGGGGCCAAGATGGGAGGAGTGCTTGAGCCCAGGAGTTTGAGACTAGCCTGGGAAACACTGTGAGACCTCATCTCTACAAAAAAATTAAAAAATTAGCTGGGTGTGGTGGTAGCACTTATGTTCCAGATACTTGGCAGGGAGGGAGGGGAGCAAGGCAGAAAGGTCACTTAAACCCCATAGGTCAAGGCTGCAATGAGCCACATTCATGCCACTGCACTCAAGCTTGGAGAACAGAGACTCTGAAAAAAAGAAAAAGAAGAAAGAAAATCTCAAACCTAAATTGTGTGAGTTTGTATATGAAAAGACTGGAAAAAATACATATTATACACAAACATACAATCTCTGAATTATGGGATAAAGTGTGGTGCTACTTCTTTGCTTGTTGGCATCTTCTAAAATTTCACAATCTCTTATTTTGTAAAAAGAAAAGGAGGGTATAAGAGAAGCAGCACGTGCTGTGCTTGAGCAGGTAAGAGGGCCTGCTAGGCAGACCTGTGCTGAGATAGGGCAGGTTCCCAGAATTAGAAATAACCAGGATCTGGGATTTGCTCTCCTTCACCTGCCCACTCCCACTTGTGAAGGGCACAAAAAGGAACCACCTGGATGTTTATGATACCAAGAGTAAATAGTCTTTACAACTGGCCAGGTGCAGTGGCTCACGCCTGTAATCCCAGCACTTTGGGAGGCTGAGGCGGGTGGATCACGAGGTCAAGAGATCAAGACCATCCTGGTTAACATGGTGAAACCCCATCTCTACTAAAAATACAAAAAAATTAGCTGGGCATGGTGGCACGTGCCTGTAATCCAAGCCACTCAAAAGGCTGAGGCAGGAGAATTGCCTGAACCCAGGAGGCAGAGGTCGTGGTGAGCCGAGATCATGCCATTGCACTCCAACCTGGGTAACAAGAGCTAAACTCTGTCTCAAAAAAAAAAGTCTTCACAACCTATCAAAAGTCAGCTCCATTTATGTCTACCTGGGCCTAAAGAAACTGAATGCTGCCTTGCAGGTGTATAAGACACCAAAAATTAGCTTTTCACAATTTCTTTAGCAACAGTAACAATTATAAAGGGGGGTCTTTCCCTAATTATTTCTATTCTATGAAGGAGATGTCCATCCCAGCTAAAGATAAAACAGTTCCCCTTCTCAGGGAATCTCACTTTCTCTCTCCGCTGATATTAGGCATACCCAAACCTCTCTCATTTAAGAAACAAAATCTCTTTATACAGCAGATTCTTATCTACCAACACCCATTGCCTTCCATTCTCCTATGGAGTCAAATTTCTTAAGCAAAGTCAGCAGCACAGTCTGCATTTTCTCGCATCCCTATCATATCCATGGAAATCATTTTTGCTAAGGCAGCCAATGACTGTCCCATCAATAAATCTGATAGACTTTTTTTTTTTGGCCTTTCTGCTCGACTACACAGGTGTACTAACTCTGCTGACCTTTCATTCCTCCTTTTCTGTTTTCCCTTTACTTGCTGTCCTTCTACTTCTAGGGTAGTCCCTCCTCAGTCTCCAATTCTAGCTCATCCTCTTTCCCACCACTACATAGTTAAGTTTCTTAGCACTCTGTACTAAACCTCTTCTTTCCACAAGGCACTTTGGCCAGGGAGTCTCATCCATTCCCATGATTTCAATTATTCACTGCAGGTGACCACTTCCAAAGAAACATCTTTAATTGGGATCACTCTTCTGAAGGCCACATCTGTTTGTTTGTTTGTTTGAAATGAAGTCTGGCTCTGTTGCCCAGGCTGGAGTGCAGTGGTGTGATCTCACTGCAACCTCTGCCTCTCCAGCTCAAGCGATTCTCCTGCCTCAGACTCCCGAGTTAGCTGAGATTACAGGTGCCCACCACCACCACACCCTGCTAATTTTTGAATTTTTAGTAGAGATGTGGTATTACCACATTCATCAGGCCAGTCTTGAACTCCTAACCTCAAGTGACTACTTGTCTAGGCCTCCCAAAATGTTGGGTTTACGGGCATGAGCCACCATGCGCATCTTTTTTAACGGCCTATTTTGAAACTCTCATGGTAACTCATCATGATTCCCCCAAACCTGCTTGTTTGTATGGCCCATCTCAGGAAATGATACCATTATCTACCTACCTGGCTGCTCAGGCCACCTAAGGAGTAATCATCATCCAATTAACCAACAAATCCCATCAGTTCTCCCTCCTAGAGCCTCCTAAGTCTTCTCCTTAACTCCTTCTAATCCATACTCTGTAATTCACACCTCATAATTTTACTCCCTTTGTTAAAACATTCAGGGGCTTCCAACTGCTATTGGAATCCTCACCCAGGCTTATGTCCCTAACCTCATCCCATTGTAACTGGCTCGCTAAACTTAGCCCTATTGGTTTTGTTTCATTCCCAGAAAATACCTTGGCTTCAATATGCATAATCCATTCTATCTGGCAACACTTGCTCCCTGCTTGTCACCTATATAATATTTACTGATTCTTCCGTCTCCCAGGTTCAGTATCAACTTACTCAGGTTACATACTCCCAGAGCACCATTTGTAATTATTATTTGTTCCGTGCTTATCTTGCCATTTAAACTTTAAGCTTTATAAGTTCAAGGATTGAGCTCATATTATTCACGGCAATAACCCCTAGCACCTACCTTAAGTCTGGGGCATGTGAGCTTAATGAATAACAGTTGCCAAGGGATTCTTTAATTGTGCTATCATTACACATGTGCCATGAGTAAGGCGAATAGACATGTTACACTGTGTGAATTCTGAGGACAAGGAGAGTAGGCAGGTGTCATGCTTTAGGGGGGGTGAGGGAAAATGTAAAAATGGGATAAGAAAAAATGCAACATTGTTCAACATTAATCAGTACAACTTACAAAGCTAAAAGGAGAGAGGAAAAATAATTAACTTACCAAAACATTGCAGTGAGATGGATCCGAGACAATAATTGTTAATCTAGTTAAAATTTTAATTGGTCTTGATTTTCCCTATTTAAAAAAAACATGCTGTCAAAGAAGCACAAAAGATAACTGATTTTCATTTTTACCCATAGAAAGTATTCATTAAAAGGTACTGGCTATAAGGGATAGTGAAGATAAATAAAACCCAGTCCTTGTTCTCTAGAAATTTACAATACAGCCACAGAAAGAGATGTACGTATCTTAAACTACATAATAAGATAATTTAAAAGTCGTAGGACTTCAGGAAAGAAGATCATCAAAGTAGTACTGAGTTAATGGTAAAAGAATGTTTCCTGAAGAGCTGAGCCTTGAGGAAAATGTAAGACTGGTAGGCAGAGTAAGGTACAACTCCAGTTAGAGAATAGCACACATAATTAGGTATCTTTTAACTGAATAATAAATATTATGCTTCTTAAACAGCAAAACACCTACCTGTACAATTGGCAAAGTTGTGAAGAGTTCAGAAACAGCTACTGGTTTTTCAATTTCCTAAAGCAAACAATAAACAGTTGCCACAGATTGTATACATCAATAGCACAGGCATAATGGAAAAATTACAAGGGGAATCTCAGAAAAAAAATGCATTTTTTTAAAAAAGCTAGGTGATTTCTGGTTTTCAAAAAGACTTTTAAAAAATATTTTTAAAGAGAAAGTTAAATAGAGAAGCAACTGCAAACATCAGTGAATAGGAAGAATGAAAACTAATTTTTAGGCTGAAATAATCTATAGGATAGTTGTTGGCCTAAAGAGAAATACATACTTACTAGTAATGTTTAAGAGAAAAACTAGTTAATAAGTCCATGACAATAAAATTAAAAAGACTAAATATCTTTATTACAGTCCAGCCAACAATGCACTTTTTAAACAGTGAAAGTAACTTAATTTCAAATCAACTTTAAGAATCCTGAACACTATTTCATAGTACCTCACAAATATCTTGTTTGTATAAATATGCATCAGCTAATGTTAACATATAAAATAGGAAAGTAATAGTATATTAAGGAGTGCATTTAAGAAATATTCTAATCTGTAGCTCCCAGATTGCCAATATAAACAGATTACAAATATTTATGAACTTAACTTCAGAAATATTATTTTACCTGTTTCTTTTCCTTAAAGTCAACGACATGATTGACAGCAACAACTGAATAGCCAACTGAAAAGAAAAATTGAACACTTTTGTTAAAGATAACAACCTCTCCTTCCTGTAAACACAGGTCCATCCTGACTCCAGATGTCAAGAGCAGGAGGCCATTTGAGCAATGGTTATGCATGTAAACTCTAGCATCAGCCTGCCTGATTTAAAGTCTTGGCAATACCACTTACAAGTTACTTAACATGAAGTTTCAGGTTCTTCAACTGTCAAATGGTAATAATAACAACACTTACTTCCTACACTTGTCATGAGATTTAAATGAAATAATGCACTCAAGGTGTTTGAGAACAGTGTCTGGCACATAGGTCTTTGTTTAACCATTATAAATTATTATTAACATGATATTAAAGACTCTTAACTTTGTGCTTCTTTTCAACTATCATTCTCTTTCATATCCCTGTATTCATTTTCATCGCATCAAGTTCTTACTTTACCACTGTCACTTTTATTCTTGTTCATTTCTTTTGCTTTTTACCCTTCTACTTCTGTGAGACTCCTTTCCTAAGGAGAAATGGAGTGATGACTCCCTCACACCACTGCCCACTTCCCATTTTGAGTGCACACCATCGACAGACTGGGAACTCTTTGAGGTCAAGGCTTGCTTTATTATCCTTGTGGGTAACACTCCCCATGGCACCGAGGAAGGAGAACTGTGCAGACCTCAGGCACAATTAGTGCCTGAAGTATAAGTGCCTCACTGCTTACTATATCTAGCTTACATATATAATCATACTTAGTTCCATATATTCTTTCTATATAATCATATAACAGATGTAGTTGGAGCTGTACTGACACATTTGGTGCTGATTTATATAATCCTTCTATATAACCATAAAGTAGTTTGTAGTAGGAGGAATGCCTAGAGCAGTCACAGAACAGAAGCAGTACATGGGAAAACAGCCAGACCAGGACAAGAAGCAAAGACCCTGCCTGAAAGGGCATACACTGTATGGCAGACTTGGAGCAAGATTCTCTCCTCCTGATAAAGGAGTTGTAGCACCTTACATCCAGTTTCTGTGGAAAGTAGGCCTCAGGCCTGAGATCCCGAAAATAACCGAGGTAGAAGCACCCCTCTGGTGTGACCAGTGACAGCGCCTGTATACCCTGTCATTCTTTTCTCACTTCTGTGCTAGCTTAAACCATCCTCCCATAAATATCTTAAGAGAATAGCACAAGTCTGTCAGCTCCCACTGCATTGGCTCACAGTATCTTTCTATTAGAAACCCTTTGAAGTCTCTAGCCCCCAGGTAAGAAGTGTTGCACAGAACACCTGTTGCACACAGCCCACCTCCTTGCCTCGGTGACCTAATGGGGGTGGACCCCTTTTCTGTACACGACCCTCTACTACTGCACGTGGCATGGCCCCCTACTGGGCAAGGTTCACCTCTCTGCCCAAGTGACATAATGGGGAGGCCCCCTCACTTGTAACTCACGTGATTATTTTACCCTATCACTAAGCCTATAGATGATGACCTCACTTACAACCCTTACCCCTGCTTGTGCCTACTAAATACAGACACTTCTGGGTGTTCGGGGCCTTGCCTGTCTCTGCTCATAGGTGGCGTGACCCCCCGGAGTCCAGCTGCTCTTCTCCAGTTCTTCAGTGTCCTGTCTCTTTACTTCTTGGATCCTGTACCTCAGCACACCATAAGGGACACCCCACGACCCTGTGGGGCCAACAACCCTACAATTCTCATCAGTCAGTACTGTTCCGGACATTTGGGCTACCAAAAATAATCTAAATCATGACTCCCATCTTTAAGTTTTTAAAAATACCAATGGGGATGAAAGGACAGTAATGTTAAAATACATATTAATGCCAAACTTAAAACAGTTTGTCCAACTTCCTTCTTACCTACCTCCCTCAAATATTTACTGAGCATCCATTACTTGACAAGCCCTAAACTGGTGTTGTGTATACAGGATAAATAATACAATCCTAGTCCATATGTTGGAGAACTAAGGCAAATAGTCAATTAAGCAAGTCATTACATATAAATACATGTTTTTTGTAAGTAAAGATTCTATGGAAGTATTTAGCACAATGAAACCTGGGGTAGGAGTCACAAAAGGCTCCCTGGAGTAAGTTATCCTTAAAAAAAAAAAAAAAATCAGAAGTATGCCAGTATTTTGGGCTTCGCCTTGCACCCAGTTAGTCAAATCAACCAGCCACACCTCCTCCCCATTCTTCTTTACCACACTCCCAAATCTGCTCTCAACTTCCTTGTTATACCCCATTTGGGATATCTTTTTGCTTACTAAACAATATCCCTACTGTTCTACAGAAATGTCAACTAGATTCTGTTTCTCTATAAAACTTTTTCCTAGACTACTCCTCATCTGGCAGTTTAGGAGTACTTCCCCAGTCAAGCATTAGTGTATTTTAATTTACACAGTATATTTCTGAAGCTTATCACTGGTTTCTTATATCACATCAGAAACTAAGAACCAGGGCTCTGTCTTCCCTATTCTTTGAAAATGTCTACTATTTATTTCCAGACTCATCAAATAGCAGTCCTTTGTCTTTGACTTGTAAGTTGGGGTGACTTTGTCATATGCCATGAATTTCATTTAATTTCTAAATAAAAAACCACTAACAATGTATATATATTACCACAGCTCTTTCAAGTGTATTTTAAACTGGGGGGAATTCTCTAAAGAAATCAGTATAACTTTTCTTTTTTGTACTGATTTTTCTAAGGTGTTCAGTTTATTCCACAAGCATTAACTGAGTAACTGGCATGCACTAGTGCCTGCAGAGTAAATGTGTTACGCACAGTAAATAAAAGGATAAGACATGGAAATTATCTTCAGAAGCTCATGATTTATTAAAAAATGGGATGGCATCAGGAAAAGCCTCACTGAAGAGGTTATAATTGCAACTCGCTACACACAAGATAATTTATTTTACAGGATCAAAGAACATTAACGCTAAATGGCCCATATCATCATGTCTACTTTCCTCTTCCTACTGATGAGCAGAGAGTACCCCAGAGATAATGTTCATTTAGTGGCAGCAGTAGAAATGGAAAGTCATTTCGCTACGGATACTTCATAAAGAGGACAGAAAAAATGGTGTGATTCATTTTACCAAGAAGTGGTTGTCATTTCTAGCACCATCTCTGAAGAGTATCAGTAAACAGACCGCACAATGAGCTGAGAACTGTCTCTGAGGAGATGTTATTGCACGAAACTCTTGATTCTTTTTAATCTCTCTAGCCCCACACCTTACAGTCTAAGGAATAAGAACCCATGACTAACTCCAATAGGGAAAACAGGTTCTCGTCTCTCAAGGCTTTCGCTTCCCTTAGATTTGGGCCATGCTGTCCTCTTCCTCCACCCCCACTCCGCGGTGGATGTCCTCTGCCCCCACTACCCTCTCTCTGTTTAGATAATATTGTTCCAACACTTCCACATCTTCCCCCTCGGGGCTTCCAAGGCGCTTCCTGTCCGGGCCACAAATTCCAGCATTTTTTTCGATACTGTCGTGAGAGTCTGTAAGGGCTGATGGTAACTTAGAAGCTTAGAAGATTGTACACTTGGAGTTCAGCTCCGGCTTCTGTCATCTATCAGCTGTAGGCCCCTATGTAAATCCCTCGCCCTCGCTGGACCTCAGTTCCCTCACTGCATGAAAGGAGCTGAACCAGATAACAACCCCTAGAACCTTCGAGTTTCCCGCCCTAGGTATCAGACCAACACCTCGGCTGTCATCAGCCTCCAGGGACATCCCAGACACTCCAGGAGACCTGACCGAGACCCATCAGGAAATAGTTCCTCCCGAGCGTGGCCCGATGGTCTGGGTAGCATGAGACTTGGCAGGCGCTGCTGCCCGCGAAGCCAGGGCAACTCACGGTGAGCGGCTGCCTCCACCAGTCCGCGCAGAGCCTTCACGTCAGAACCCGCTCGCAGGTCCAAATCTGCAAACACCGCCATGCTGAAGTCCCATGACCGCCTGCGCGGGCCAGTCTGCGCAGCCGCTGGGCCCGCCCTTCAGGCATGCTGGGAGCTGTAGTTAACCTGCGCAGTCCGTGTTTACCAGCTGCTGACTAGGGATTCGGAGAAACTTACCTGCTTTGCTTTCAAATACCAGAATCTGTGTGTTGAAATCACCAGCTACATTTCAATCCCTCTTTGTCGTCTTCTGAATGACAATGTTTGGTTCCCCCTGGAGGGGTTCCAATTCCCCACTATTCAACACTCCTATAAAATAGTGTAGAAATGAATTCATTCAAAATGCACGCACACGGTATTTAGCGTCTGCTCATGAGTCAGACTTCTGCTAAAGGGCGAAAATGTTATTTAAAGAGTCCTAAAGAATACGTTTACCTTTCCTTTCCCTAAAGTCCATTCAGTTGTTTAAAATGGACTTAACGGGAAGAGGGCGCTAGGACTTCAAAAGAGAACTACCCCAAGACGAGGGTCTTTTTACCCAATCAGAACTATTGATGTCAAAGCCTGCTATTCTGTTACAGTCAGCATCTTCAACCACAAGATGGCAGGACTCGCTCTAGGACGAGCGCTTAGAGCCACCACTGATTCAGGCAAAGAATCGTTTGAAAAGGGAGGTGCAAAATTGAGATGTTTTGCACATTCCAGCTGATAAATGTACAAGGTGACGCATATCTCACAGATCTGATATTTCCACTTTTTTCTTAGTGTAAATGACCTATTGAGGATTAATAATCAATTATACAACAACTATGAAACTATAGTTTACATCAGTGCTCTCAAACTACCTGTGATGAAGGACCAGTTTCTCCCTCCTTCTCCCCTACCCCCAGATTCTTCGAGACCAGGATACGGTCCTTTATGCATTACCAGTAAACAGCCTGTCTTCATGTAAATCACAAATTTGACAACACTGAACTGCCCTATACCTGGATGAATAGTCTGCTGATCAGGAGCTTGGTCATCAGGACAATGCCAATGTGCTGTAAACGTTCTGAACATTTTCACTTTCTTTTCTTTTCTTTTTTTTTTTTAAATAATGTATGCACAGCAACAATAATCACAGAGTGGATTGCCCCAAAAATTAGAGGCTCAGCCATTTGACCTGAGGAGTGTCCCATTTGCTGGCCTGCTGAGTTTTCTCTGTTTTGTTTTGTTTTTAGAGAGAGCATCTCGCTATTGCCCAGCATGGACTCCAACGCAAGCAATCCTCTCTCCTAGCTGTGATTGCAGGCGCCCACCCCCATGCCCCACCCATCAATTTCTGTATTTACTGATCACAAACAGTTCACAGATAGTCTCTGTCTGTGGACCACACCTTAACTACTACTTCTTTATGCGAGTCTCTGTCTGTGGACCACACCTTAACTACTACTTCTTTATGCGATTTTCTTGTCCGTCTCAGAAGGGAGGAGGGATCTGTTCCATGCAGTAGCGTGCAGTTCTATTCTTGGTTAACTTTTGTAAAGAAGAGATATTTTGCCCTTCCAGTATTTAATATTTCCTAAGCAGGAGTAGAAGAGAATATTACTTCTGCAAATAGAATAAGGTCACATAAAGCAAACCCTTTGTTTTTCATGAGAATATCTAGTGTTAATTTTGCAGGGTCATACAGGCAGCTTCACCTGTGACCATAAAAATGTAGATTGGTCAGAAATATGACCAATGTGTGGTAAGGCGAATAAGATGACAGTTCAATTATTTTTTCAGTTGACTCATTGTAATTATACATGTTTATGGGGTACAATTTTATGTTTTGATACATGTATATGTTATATAATGATCAAATCAAGATAGGATATTCATCACCTCATGCATTTTTGGTGATAACATTGAAAAAAACTCTCTTCTAACTATTTTGTGATATATAAACAATACCTTACTGTTAATCATAGTCACTTTCTGTGCAATAGAACATCAGAACTTATTCCTCCTATCTAACTTTGTACCTGTTGAGCAACCTCTCCCCATCCTTCCTCCCCCAAACCCTCCCTAGTCTTTGTTAACCATTGTTCCATTGTTTACTTTCTAGACTTCTATCAAATTAAGTTTTTTTTCATATTCCACTTATGAGTGAGATTAGGCAGTATTTGTCTTTCTGTGTGTAGCTTATTTCACTTAAGATGGTGTCATCCATATTATCCCAAATGACAGGATTTCATATTTTTTAATGGCTGAGTAGTATGTCATTATGTGTGTACCACATTTTCTTTATCCATTCATTTGTTGTTAGACATGTAGGTTGATTCCATATTTTGGCTATTGTGAATAGCGTTGCAATAAACATAGAAGTGCAGATATCTCTTGGACATACTGATTTCACTCTCTTTGGATTATACACCCTGTAGTGAAACTTTTAGGTCCTATGATAGTTCTATTTTTAATTTTTTGAGAAACATCCATACTGTTTTTCATAATGGCCATACTAGTTTACATTTCCACCAACAGTAAGTGTTCCTTTTTCTCTACATCCTCATCAACGCTTATTTTCATTTATTGTTTTGATAATAATTGTAACTGGAGTGAAGTGGTAGCTCATTGTGGTTTTGACTTGCATTTCCTTTATGATTAGCGAGGCTGACAATTTTTTTCATATACCTGTTGGCCATTTGTATGACTTCTTTTGAGAAATGTCTGTTAAAGTTTATTTGTTTGTTTAAGAGAATCTCTGTCACCCAGGCTGGAATTCAGTGGCTTGATCATGGCTCACTATAGCTTCAAACTCCTGAACTCAAGCAATTCCTCTACCTCAGCCTCCCAAGTACCTAGACTATAGGTATATACCACCATGCCCGGAAAATTTGTTTAATTTAATTTAATATTATTTTAAGTACCAGGATACATGTGCAGGATGCGCAGGTTTGTTACACAGGTAAATGTGTGCCATGGTGGTTTGCTGCACCTATCAACCCATCACTTAAGTATTAAGCCTCACATATATTAGCTATTTATCCTGATGCTCTTCCTTCCCTCCCACCTCAACAGGCCCCAAAGCATGTTGTTTCCCTCCCTGGTCCATGTGTTCTCATTTTTAAGCTCCCACTTATAAGTAAGAACGCACAGTATTTAGTTTTCTGTTCCTGTGTTAGCTTGCTGAAGATAATGGCTTCCAGCTCCATCCATGTCCCTGCAAAGGACATGATCTCATTCCTTTTTATGGCTGCATAGTATCCCATGGTGTCTATGTACCACATTTTATTTATCCAATCTATCATTGATGGGCATTTGGATTGATTTCATGTCTTTGCTATTGTGAATAGTGCTGCAATGAACATACACATGCATGTATCTTTATGATAGAATGATTTATATTCCTTTGAGTATATACCCAGTAATGGGATTGCTGGGTCAAATGGTATTTCTGCTTCTAGGTCTTTAAGGAATTGCCACACTGTCTTTCACAATGGTTAAGCTAATCTACATTCCCACCAACAGTGTAAAAGCCTTCCTATTTCTTCACTACCTCACCAGCATCTGTTGTTTCTTGACTTTTTAGTAATTGCCATTACAACCGGCATGAGATTGTATCTCACTGTGGTTTTGATTTGCATTTCTCTAATGATCAGTGATATTGAGCTTTTTTTTCATACATTTGTTGGCTGCATGAATGTCTTCTTTTGAGAAGTTTCTGTTCATGTCCTTTGCCCACTTTTTAATGCAGTTGTTTTTCTCTTGTAAATTTGTTTAAGTTCTTTGTAGATTTTGAATATTAGACCTTTGTTAGATAAATAGGTTGTAAAAATTTTCTTCCATTCTGTAGGTTATCTGTTCACTCTGATGATAGTTTCTTTCTGTTCACCCTGCTGATGGTTTCTTTTGCTGTACAGAAGCTCTTTAGTTTAATTAGCTCCCATTTGTCAATTTTTACTTTTGTTGCTATTGCTTTTTTTTTTTTTTTTTTTTTTTTGAGACAGAGTTTCACTATTGTTACCCAGACTGGAGTGCAATGGCATGATTTCGGCTCACCACAACCTCCGCCTTCTGGGTTCAAGCAATTCTCCTGCCTCAGCCTCCCGAGTAGCTGGGACTACAGTCGCGCACCACCATGCCCAGCTAATTTTTGTATTTTTAGTAGAGACGGGGTTACACCTTGTTGACCAGGATGGTCTCGATCTCTTGACCTCGTGATCCATCTGCCTCGGCCTCCCAAAGTGCTGGGATTATAGGTGTGAGCCACCGTGCTTGGCCACTATTGCTTTTAACATTTTCATTATGAAATCTTTGCCTGTGCCTATGTCCTGAATAGTATTGCCTAGATTCTCTTCTAAGGTTTGTATAGTCTTTAATCCGAATGAGTTAGTTTTAATAAACAAAAAAAAATGAGTTAATTTTTGTATGAGGTCTAAGGAGGGGATTCAGTTTCAATTTTCTGCATCTGGCCAGCCCGTTTCCCAGCACCATTTATTAAATAGGGAATCCTTTCCCCATTGCTTGTTTTTGTCAGGTTTCTCGAAGATCAGACGGTTGTAGATGTGTGGTCTTACTTTGGAGATCTCTATTCTGTTCTATTGGTCTATGTGTCCATTTTTGTACCAATACCATGCTGTTTTTGTTGCTGTAGGCTTTGGTATAGTTTGAGGTTGGGTAGAGTGATGTCTCTAGTTTTGTTCTTTTCACTTAGGATTGTCTTGGCTGTATGCATGCCCAGATAATTTTTTAAACTCCCTTTTATAGCAACAGTCTTGCTATGTTGCTGAGACTGATCTTAAACTGCTGGCCTTAAGTGATCCTCCCACCTCAGCCTCCCAAAGTGCTGAGATTATAGGTGTGAGCCATTGTGACTGGCCCAGTTGCCCCTTTTTTTTTTTGGAGACTGAGTTTCACTCTTGTTACCCAGGCTGGAGTGCAATGGCGCGATCTTGGCTCACTGCAACCTCCGCTTCCTGGATTCAGGCAATTCTCCTGCCTCAGCCTCCTGAGTAGCTGGGATTACAGGCACGCGCCACCATGCCCAGCTTATTTTTTGTATTTTTAGTAGAGACGGGGTTTCACCATGTTGACCAGGATGGTCTCGATCTCTTGACCTCATGATCCACCTGCCTCGGC